GTTATGTTATGCAAACTGATAACCCGGAAAAGGAACCTATTATCTATACTCGGAATTTTAATTCGATTCCAGATTTGACAATTTCAGTGTTGCGACGTTGTGACAAGTACTAAATAGTGACGTTGCGAAATTATTCGATATGGAAATGCAATATTTCTGGATCGATTCTTCTCGTTTATAATTTTACTCTCGTAAAATATGGATATCAGGAAATTAAATATTTCTGACCGATAATTTAGTTTTGACGATTACTTAACGATCTGAGACTTTTCTTTTATAATTGTGTGTGAAATAAATAAAAAAATGTAATCATGAAGGAACATGACAAATAAAACAGATAGATGTATTATGGTAATAAGTTATTTTATAATTTGTCGCCGTCATCGCTATCGCTATCCTGTCACTTTCTGTAACATTTATTATAAAACATACACACCGATTGTTTATCGATTTTTGTGTGCATCACTACGCTATTATATGTGGTATCATTATTTCACAAAATGACAGTAGCTATTGTCAAATCTGGAATCTAATTAAAATTCTGACTATAGCTCTGCTATCAGACTTAGGTACTTAATTTAAAAAGTAATAAACGTAAAAGTACCCTTTTCAATTTTTAAAAGCATGTCAAATTAACATGTCAATAATAGAAGCGTTTTTATTGCATAAAATTTCAATAACACTTTGGTCGACTCGGAAATGGAACGCAAAACTCAAGTTCGACGGTTCATCAATTCAGAAATCCAAATTCGATAGTCGCGCTCGCGGCTTCTCAACCAACAAAGCAACAGTACAAAAATTGCAGACTTATTATTATACAGGTATAAAGACAATACTCACAATGATTATAAACGCCAGCATGAGCCAATAAGAAGTCGAGAATGTGTGGTGTAGAACTCAAAGGCAGTCTGTTCGAATGGTCAGCAGCCAATACGGTGCACACGTTGACGGCGAAATCTTGTTCGTTAGGCATCGGCGATAAGAGAGAGAGGGCCAATCGCTCCGATGCAGCTGCCACGCGCGACCCCGTCCGTAACGCCTCACCTGATGCTTAGATGCCGATAAATAATATTGCCTAAATACTAACTAAAAGACAAATTACTACTGTATTTTTTATGTGTAAGGTGTTGTGAATAGGGCGCTTACTGCCGGCACGGCATAGTCATTTAGTCAGGTAATCAAGTTATTTTGAATCTTATTTGAATGAGTTTAGAGCACACGTTACTTTATTTCGCGGTCACTTTGTGTCGAGGAATTATGATTGCTAAACTAGTTGAAATAAGATTGTAACTTGTGTAGCAGTCTTGGCAGAGTAGCTGGATTTGCAGCAGAATGTAACGGCAGTGAGCGCCGAGTCTAACATATAAAAAATTCTACGAGGAATGAATAGATCATCCAATTATCCCACTGACAAAAATTAAATTGATTGATATATTTATTGTGTTCTCTTTCTACTTTCTAATAAGAACTATATTTCAATGTGTTGTGTACTTAAAAATTAATAAAATATTATACAATAATGAGCATTTGTGCGTAGCCAAGAAAGGTGCGAATTAACAAATAACGGTTAGTTACAACCAAGTCCTTGGACCTCTAACTACTATAGTATAACCACAAAAAGCAAAAAAAAAAAATAATATTAGGCTATTCTTTTAAAAATTTTGCACAATAATTGATTCATTAATTTTGCTACAATTAAGCCAAGGATACACTAGGGACAAATGTCCTAAGACATGTATCGGATACATGTCGGCCGATGTCGCCTGTCATATATGGTGACAACGCGCAACTTTGTCCACAGTGACGTTAATGTTGCCAGACATGTCGACCAAAGTTCGGCAACGTCGCGTTACTTCACCAGACGTAGCTGGCGACACATGTCGCAGGACATTTATCCCTTAGTGTATTCTTGGCTTTATAGTAGAATGCTCCGTAAGCTGAACCAACCATATAATAACATTTTGATGGTTTTAGTTTTAGAGCTAAGTTTCGAATGAATAATTTTTCAAGTATTTGAATAGTAGTTACTGAGGTTCGGCTTACAGACATTTTACTGTATTTATTAACTCATGATTGGATTAAGTAACTTGAAGAAATAAAAGAAATTCTATGCTTTTTATCGACTCTGTTTCGATGTGGTAAGATCTCCACTTGAAGTCTATACTTTTTTTGAAAAGAAAATCATCCTATGACTTCTTCCGCCTTGGGTGAGGGAGTGTCAGACTCTTACTGACAGACAGTCAGACAGTCGAACAGCCTGAGTTTGAATCTAGGCTGCACTTGGTTGCCAATAAACAGTTAGGGTGCAGTCGAAATATAGTCCTTCTGTCTAGAATCCTATGGTCTAGTAAGATATCAAAATTAGAACTTATAACAATCATGAGTCAACAAAAAACATTAATAAAATAGATAATAAAGAGAAGAATAAGCAAAGATATCAATATGTTTCAGTCTGAAACATACCTGATATGTACGTACCCCCAGCAAAGGATATGCGTGGCATTGCGCCGCGACCGCGTCGAGGGTCCTCATCCATATCATTGTCGTCATCCCTGCCTGGTGGACCTTTTGCTCTTTCGTATCTAGTTACATAATATGGAAAGTAAATACAATGTTTAAAAAACATTATCTGAGGCCTTAGTACAAGTTTGTCTTACGTTTAAAGTTTTCGAAACGAGTACGCGTTCGGCACTCTGATAGGCCGACGCCAATGAAGCAACCAATCAGAATGCCAAGCACGAACAACTATCGCATCCGTATCGTAATAATATCGAGTGCTAGCGACGCTTGGATTGGTTGATTCACTAGAGCCGGCCAATCAGAGCGCCGAACGCGCTACGAATGCTATAGTTATTCGTGCTTGGCACTCAGAGCGCCGAACGCGTACTCGTTACGATTATTTTAGACGTAAAACAAACTCGTACTAAGGCCTCTGAAAGGATTCCCTCCATGTCGTGGGTAAACACACAATTTCATATGACTCGTGCCAGATTTAAACCTGTGACACGTTTCACGGCAGCCGGTTTCCCAGCCACCGCGCCAAATGTAACTTGTTTGAAACATTTATAAATTCTCATTAACACTAATAAAAAATTTCCATAAAAAAATTTTTTCTTCCATATTTGATTATTTTTTTAATAATTCTTATTAATTTAATTTTAATCAATAATCATAAAAAAGTTCTTACTTTTCCAAATAAGTTCCGTATATCCGTCTGAGAAGTGTGGAACCATTGATGCATGGATGTGGTAGTCGCAGAGGTCGCAGGAATGATTCCCAAGTGTCATTTTGATTTACCTGTGAATCAAAACAATTTCATAAATGTTTATTTCAAGATATTTCATTCAGGTTTAATGTGAAATATATATACCATATATGATAATTCAAGGAAATTAAAACGATGTAATGGTTACAGATGTTACTAATGAATAAAATCTGTCTATTGTCTATGGTAGCGGAATATTTAAAAATAGAACTCCCAATTTTATTTTTAAAAAAATCTATTATTACTAAAAGAAACTTAACCAGTTTAAATAGCAAAATCTCCAACTTTGTTTATATTACAGAGTTAATAATAACATGCAGACTTATGTGTGGGAGAGCCATGCTTTAGCAGGGCTCAATAAGAGTAATACCACAGCCTAACAGAAAACCGACATAAAGCAACACTTGCATTGTGTCCCAGGTATTCACGAGTAACACCGATTGCTTACCATCAGGTAATCTGTTTGTTTGTTTACCGGCTTATCACACAAAAAAAAACATTCACTCTTTTTATACTTCTATTCTCTATTTATTTATTTATTTCAATTAAATAGTATAACATGACAGTCATAAAACTAAGGCGTTACACATTTCAAATAACTATAAAAGAAAAAAAAATAAAACAGAACAGTCCTTAAATAAAACAAACAATAAGAATAAGAAAACCTTACAAACTATGACAGGTTTTAAAACCAATAAGCAAAATAAACAATATAAAATAAATAAGACATTTACAATATAACATTAACACTCACAGCTGATCACGACCTCTGGTCGGCATACACATTTTTCTCTAATATAAATAAGTAATATAATTTGTTTTTATTTATTGTCCGTAAAATACAATAGTAGATTTTACATACACAAAAAGAATTATCTATATACTCCTGTCCGTTATTTTTTTACGATGTTAACAATTATGCAGAAAATCGCCCGCGTACTGGATCAAGCGGGCGCTCTAAACGCTCCGCTGTGAAAGTGTTAAATAGAACACTTATGCATTCATACACTCGCACAACTTCATGCATTCTTTGCACACAGTCCTCCAGCTTGACGCAAATATATCAAACTCTGGTGATGATGCCGGAAGATCATTTATCAGTGTGAGGGCACGAACAAGTGGCGTATGAACGTGTACACATGATCGCAACAACAAACATTATAATTATTCATTTATTTTTTTTTTTTTAGCCATAGTCATCCCACTGCAGGGCAAAGACCTCCAAACCCTCCTTCCAATGATGAGTTCTTCTTTCTTATAGCTAACATTTTTAGGTACAAATAAAATTGCAACATGTTTTGAAATCCAATAAACTCCTGAGTTTCGAGTAAAGGTTAATAAAAGATAGTTTATTACAATATATATTATGTTTTATCATGTAAACCCATTTCTGGTATGTATATGTAGGTATAATTTGCATAGTACTCACCTTCCCAAGTCCTCCTCGCTGTTGTACTAATGTATAAAACAAGTACAAATCTAATTCTATGCCATTTACAATTGGAACTTTTGTTGGTAGACTGAAAAAATAAAAATAAACATTGTAGTGTCAACTGAAACTAATAATATACAAATTCTAATAAGTTTATCACATCGACTTTAACTTTATTGTTAGTTTATAAGTTAAGTCGTAATATTATCTAATTATTTTAATGAGAATTTAGATGATAAGGGTTAAATGGTCAAACATTCCAACGTAAATAAGTTATATTGAAGGCAAGGTGTACACAACCAAATATGCTCATAAAAACGTTATACTAACTTTTTACTCTCGTTGAATTGCTTCAACTCCTTCATAAAACTCTCCCTGTCCTTAATATAATTGCTAGATTTCGTATTTATTTGTGCTTTTGCCATTATAACTGTTTATGCACACACACAGTTAGAACACGAAATAGTTACACTACTGGCCAGTGTAACTCAGTGATAAGGTTTATAGATGCTCACTCATATCAAATTATTAATGAACTCCCTAGTTTTATCTTATAATTTTTATAGAAAACGCAATTTCTTGGTATATGAACAGTTTGCTTGCTTATTTTTCTTTGACATTAATGACAGCAAGCCCACAAGCCGGAGCGGAGCCCGGAGCAATAACGACGCTTGTAATGTTGCCATATTGATATATTACCATGTTAGAATTAATAATAACTATTACACAATTAAATATATACAATACAAGATAAAAATTAATATATACAACTTAAAATATATAATAAAAATAAATCATAAGGCATCAAAGAAAACATTTTCCTCATCGCTACCGTGAGGTAGGGTGCCCAAAAGACTGGCAGCATTGCCACGTTGAATGGCAATGCTTAACCTTTGCCCAAGGTAGTAGCCAGCCCTTCGATCACCTGAAGTGTCAACCATCCTCCTTACAATATCTTTGTAAAGAAGATGTGCACTTGGGCCCCACGGCCCTAAAGTTTCAACCCCAAACGGTTCGAAAGCATAATTGCCAATCAGGCTATTATACTTTCGCCGTTTGAGGTTCTCGGCAGCAGCAGCGGCAGCACCGGCTCGACACGCTGAGCTTGGAAGATGGGATGGCGCCAGAGTATCAACGCAAGTGGCGTCCCATACTAAAGCCCTACCCATCTTCCAAGGGAATAATGACATACCATCGGGTCTCTTGCCATCGTCACGTACCAAGCCATTAGGTTCTAAAGTAGCTGGCACGCCAACGGAGGCAAGAGCTCGACGAATTATGTCATTAATACTTGCGTGTCGAGCAAAACGGCCTGCACTACGGCTACATGACAAACCGTGGTGTCCAAGGCTGTTGACATTTTCACCACAACGACAACGATGAGGTGAACAAAATGAAGCTCCAAGCCTTAAACAGACGAAGGTAAAGCAAGAAGCCATAACCCCAACTCCCACTCACCCACAGCCAAAAGGCGAGCTCTCTCTGCAGTTGAACAAAAGGAGTTCAAGAGATTTTCGCTCACTTTTCTGCAGAGCGGCTCGTCCCATTGTCTCTGGGAATGTGATTTGACGGGGGGGTCAATATTTGGGCAAGCGATTTTCCAAGCATTCACAACTTCCACTAAACATGGTACATCAAAATTAACCAATGATTGAGAAAGAATTTTCCTGGTTAATTCTTCAGTACCAAGGGCGGAAGATATGAAAGCCGGTAGGCTTACACTGGAAATTTTACGGACGCCAAGCCCACCCATGCGGACAGGCAGAGTGGCTTGTGTCCAAGCTCGGTCATCAAGAGCCACATTCAAAATTAAGGACAGGGTTCGCCTAATGATTTGGTCAATTTTTTCTAAAAGAAGGGGTGCAGACCAAAGTTGGGTCGAGCGCAAAAAATACATAAATTTGGGACCGAAGCAGCAAAACCGAATAATAATATTACCATGTTAGAAACCATAGATTTTAGTTTTCCGTTACGGCACAGAAACTTGCCTATGATTAAGAAAAAAATTACCATGACATTCTGACTTCTCATTCTCACTTGTTACTTGACACTGACAGTTTTCATATAAACATGCTCATGCTCGAAGCTGAAGCTGTGTGATAATTCGTAGAGGTTATAAATACAAAGTTATTATTTGTAAAATTGTGAATTAAGCTAACAAAATGGTAAAGAAGAAAATAGATAACCGTATTAGGGTTATGATAGAGAATGGTGTAAAATTGGGACATCGTACGATGATCCTTCTCGTTGGAGACAAAAGTAGAGATCAAGTAAGCACATTTATTTATTTTTAAATTACATTGTTACTGATACATTTCATATTCCTGAGGAGAAATGAATCACCAATTTCCAAACCACCGACTTAATTCAGTAATTTTGAACTAACATACGAAAGAAAAAGTACCACGCATCTTTTCTAAATAATATATTTGGAGAGTGCCGACACTCTCCAATGCTACATTTTTATTAGCAATAAAGTCCACTTGCTACAAGAAGTCTCTTGTAAGGCCTCTTGTATGTTCATTATACATCATAAACTATAATTTTGCAATCTAGAACCTAAGTATGGACTCACGGACAAAATATTTGATTAGAGTATATTTTTAATTATCATCACATTGTAAGGTCACTGATTACACTGTTTTGATACAATGAATATAGTTCAGGCTTATAAAATAGTTTTTTCTTTATTGACATCTCATCACCAAAAAACAAAACAGACAATTTTTTACATCTGTGACCACATTTCACTATCTGTATAAAATTGCTAACTTTTCTGTATTATTTCAGGTTCCAATTTTGTATGATATGTTAGTGAAATCTACTGTGAAGGCCAGGCCAACAGTTCTATGGTGCTATAAGAATAAGGATGAGGCTATAAGCAAGTAAGTTAAAGTAAAAAATAATCCAAAATGTGAAATTTTTAAAAATTATCCTCTAAAGTAAAAGTACTATTTTCAAAGATGTCTTTGTATCTATGTCTATAAATGTAGAACTATTTTTATCCTACAAAACTCGATATTGCTACAAAAATAACATACCATAACATCACGCCTTTTTATCCTCGAAGGTGTAGGCAGACATGCAAATTACTACATTTAATGCCACTTTACAATGCTACACCCACTTTCACTATTTATGTTATGAGTCCCATGTAATGCGTGGGGCATTCGGATTACAGAGGGGTTTGGATTGAAGAGGTCCTGCTGTCATTACAAAAATAAACTCTGTTTGTCTATTAAGAATGAAATGACACAAGTTTCTTATTTATATGTACTTTGTTTAGTCATGGACGTAAAAGAGCAAAGAAGATAGCAGCGGGAAAGTTGGAAGTGTCAGAAGAATCTCTATTTGATGCGTTCAGAGTTGCAACGACTATACACGGACGTTATTATTCGGAGAGCCACACTATGCTCGGTCAGACTTATGGGATGTGTGTACTACAGGTATGTTGAAATAGCAAATTATTAAAAAATTAAAATTAAATAGTGATGAATTAAATGTTGTGGTGGCCTGGTTTAAAGATGTCCGATTCCCATGCATGAGGGTGCAGGTTCGAAACTTACCAACGGCAAGTAGCAATGTAACTTTTTCCGAGTTATATGTACTTTCTAAGATTATCTAGACACCACTGACAAACGGTGAAGGAAAACATCGTGAGAAAACCTGAGCTTATAATTTCTAATTATAAGTTTGTGTGCATTGAGTAAGCGTGGTGATAAATGCTCAAAACTTCTCCGTGAGAGAAGAGGCCTTGCTCAGCAGTGGGCATTTATAGGCTATTGTTGTTGTTGAATTAAATAGTGGAAAAAGTCATAATTTTTTGCAAACAAATTTCAAATTCAATGTGTTAGTTGTCGAACTTAATTAATCCAGCAAATTAATAATCTAGAAATTAAACTAAAATAATGTATTCTGAATGTGTTCAATTACAATTTTGTATAATTACAATTGATATTTTTGTGGTTACATGAAATCTTTATAATTAAATCAAGATTAATACTTGCTGGTAATCACCAAAAATCTACATGCTACTTATTAATATCATCTTTTATATCTGACCTCTAACAACTTGTTTCAGGACTTTGAAGCTCTCACCCCTAACTTGATGGCTCGCACAGTAGAGACAGTGGAAGGCGGTGGTCTCATAGTGTTCTTACTGAAATCCATGGACTCTCTGAGGCAGCTACATTCCATTACTATGGATGTTCATTCCAGGTAATATGTGCTGCTTGACCTTTTGGCTGCCAGTAGTCATATGACACATAAATCGACTGCACGGTCAGTGCGGTGGCTGGACAACTGGCTGCAGTCTGTTGCGGTTTCGATTCCCGCATGGAGAAACTCTGTGTGTGATCCACAGATTGTTGTTCCGGGTTTGGGTGTGAAGTGTATGTAAACTTGTATGTTTGCAAATGCAACCAATGGTCAACGTTTTTTTTTTTAAATTTAGTATACATTAATTACAATATTTTCGGCTGACTCACGTAACTGTTTAATAAGGAACTCGACTAGTTTGAAGCCATTCATGAGCAGTAGTTTAGTGACAGCTGCCGCGTCGTGTGTAACATATGCAAACAAACAAAGTCTTCAGCTTTATATATATATATTAGTATAGGGTATAAATATGCATACAATGTTACATTTTAACACCACATGTCTTTCACAGATTCAAAACAGAAGCGTATGACACAGTAGTGAATCGTTTCAACGAGAGGTTCCTCCTGTCATTGGCTGACAACCCTCGCTGCTTGGTATTGGATGACTCCCTGACTGTGTTGCCTATATCTTCCAAGACTGCACAGGTAGAACCTGTTGACGGGGTGCCTGAGGTAAGCATGTAAACAGTCATCTAGATATGTTAGAATATACAGTTTGGTTTATAAGTAAATGAAAACAAAAATGTTCTAAATGCTCGCCTAGTTTAAATTCACACTGGGGCGCATAATCATGAGCTGTGGACTGCAGTCAGTTAGCTGCGAGATATCTGACAAAAGTTACGTTATTATACAAAAAAAATAGTACCATCTCCTAAACTTATTAAACATTTGTCTAAAATACGACTAGGGTAATAACCCAGTTTAACTTCAGCTCTTTGAAATATTTCTTTTATTAACTTCGACTATAAAGTTTAGTAGTTGAAGTATTCATCTGCTTCTGCTTTGAAAGGTTGATGACTGTTGATGAAGTGAAAGAGGTATAAAGGAATCGTAGCAATTGGCGTTCCATAGTGTCTGCCTACTCCCATGGGAGACAGGCGTGAAACTATTTATATATTCTACTAAAGTATCCTGTATAAGCTACAAGCAAATATAAACCATATGATTTACTTACTAAATTTTATTTCAGCGCGTTAATCCAAAACTGACTGAGTTAATATCATCGTTGTCGGACTCCCCCCCGGCGGGGCCGCTAGTGGCGCTGTGTCGCACGTACGACCAGGCCACTGCACTCGTAGCGCTCATCAACACTCTCGCTGACAAACAGGCCAGGTAAGGGATATAGTACTTTATGTGTTTGTAAAATAAGGTTTGTTTTTGATTATCAAGTTCTAGTAAGGTGTGAGGGAAAATGTACATTGATGTTGTTGAAATAAGGTTTCTTTCCTGACAGTGTAGTCCTCTAAAAAATAGTAGTAA